TTTAATAACACAATGTGTATTTGAAAAGTTTATCAGATCTACAGATGCACCCGCACTAAGAGAAAAATGTCGAATTCAAAGTGCATATGTGCGTCTCAAGCGTCAGGCGCGAAGAGGCCGGAGTGGGAGCCGTGCCGAAAAAAAATCGGTTCACCCTCCCATAAAAAGTTATCACTTCAAAAACTTAAATGGAAACTCGACTTGTTTTGAGGTCCTCTACACGCCTCTGCTCTGTGTCCATAAGGTTGTGAATGCGAGCGAAAAATGAAGATAGGTAGGTAAACGAAACCGGTCCTGGGGTGCCTGAGGTAAGCGAACCTCGAATTTTGCACTGTCTTGTATGACTTCTTGTTCGGATGATACCGACGAAATTCTTGTCTTTATTATAACTAAACTAAGTAATTGATGAAATTATAAAAAAAAGAGAAAATATTCAAGATTACAATTGAAAAAACTTTGTTTGCAAGGTTTGATAATGCCTTTTTCCAAAAATCTCCAAACTGAAAAATATGCCGTCATTTTTCCTGAAAAACTTACATAGTCTGAATAAAGACTTCGCCTTCAGACCGTTTCTATGTTGATTCCAGCATCTATATTTCACATAAGCATTACAAATTTTGGTTTTAACAAAAAGTTCGTCTGTAACAAGCACAGTGTTTATTACACCGCTTTATAGCGTGCATTTATTATGTGAAACGATCAAAATACGTACCCGGAAAAAGAATCCATCAACGTAAATCACCAGGAGAGCTTAATTTGTTTCCACCTTCACGAAATGACACCAACTGGACATGATAAATTCCAACCGCTGTCCCACGCCATAACTTTTCAATGATATCGCTTATTTCATCCTGCCAACATCAGGATTGAGAATTGTAAAACGCGGTTCCGTCTACGCTTTTGTCTGGAATCTGCAAATAAAAGTATATAAATCATAATTCGTGTTTGATGAAAATTGCAGTGCTTGCGCGCTTTGAGAGCTTTCCAGCTGCGGCAAGAATTAACTACATACATATAAAAATATACCTAATTGATATGAAGCACCTATTTAATTAACTAGAGCTTGTTGCAGTGGAAACTACCTCAGTTTTAGTGTAAGTGATGTGAAATAAACTCTCGGGAATAAAATGTGGACTCCTTTCGTTTAGGTCCCTGAAGCAGGTCGTTATACATTATGGCTGCTAAAGTAAATATAAAGGACTCATGTTCTGAATGATCCGAGCCTGAAAACAGTTGTTAAATTTATGTTTATTCTTCAGGTTTTCATAATTTATTTTGAGGAATCCATCATAAAATTTTGCATATTTATATTGGCCATTAACAAACGATATTCTAATTCAAATAGTACTCAGGGAGTATCTACTGATAAAACTAGTACATTCCACGGTGATAAAATTGCACTAAGGTCATCGTACAACTCCACTTTTTACTTAACGCCCCACACTTGCAATGCTTTATATATTTTACACTCCGGATGGTTTTTTCATTGATCCCCAAGATCGAGCCCATAAAAATTTGATTGTAGGGACTAAAGGGAAAAATGGGATTCTACTGTGTAATTCCTAGTTTGTTTCCTTTATTTTTGCGCCCTAAAGGGGACCTCCCACGAAAAGCCCTCAGCATCAATGGTGATAAAAAACCTTGCCGAAAGATTGAATGGCCGAGGGACGCCTGAAATAGCCAGATAAATCGTCGATGGTTCAAAGAAAAAAGTTGAGGGCGAACAAAAATGTCATTGCGCGCAATATTGCTAATAATTTAAACCTATTTTCTCCTATAGAGGGTGCCATCACGCTCAGTTTTGCCTACCCAAAAATTATTACATGTTCCCACTCTGAGCCGCCGGGTTTATGGCTACAAATATTTTTTCGCTTCCAGAAAAACCATCCGATTTAACCTTCTTCGGATCGCAATAAATATTGCAAAACTCTGGAGAATTTCAGTCAATTCCACTCTGCCATTCTACTGATTTTCTCGCAGAAAACAAGGCGGACAAATGTGAAACATTGAACGATGCATTGAGGTATTTTATTTCGTTTAATGGCCGAATTATGGAATGGATTTTTCGTATTTGGTCTTCTCGTTTTCACTTCATTCCTTTAAATAAATTAAAATTTGCTAGCTGCATATACAGAGTGACCAGAAATTTTGATTCGTTCAAACTATAAATCCACAAATACTTAACTTTTGAGATATAAAAAATATCGATTTAATTTATATGAACAAGGATATTTTGGAACACTAGCACGAAATGTGAGATGGGAAGGTTATAGGACGAGAAATTTAAATGTTATTGAAACTGTCTGCAGAAGGTGCCACATTTCAGCGTATTATTGCATTTACTTAAGTTTTTTGTCACCTTGTACCAGTTAGGTGGATCCTCTGCTAATGTGGATTAAAAATGTATTCTTCGTCGAACATTCGATTGCCCATAACAACAGATTTGGAAAGAAATCGGTTATCAAAAGGTGACTTGTTTCATCCAAATATTTTAAAATGCGATTCCCTATGTAAACTTATACAAACAATTTAACTAAATCTATTAAGTATAATGAAAATATAGAACGTTTTGTTCGTTGACCAAAAATGACCTTATTGAAATGATAATAAATAACATTATGATCTGGAATATCCAAAAACACAAGCTGTATATTCTCGTTTATATGAGAAATTTTGAGTCGTTCCTTATGGTTAAGTGTAATGCTCAAGTTAAAGCATTGCATGCTAATTTTCCCAATCTGGTCTTGTTGGTGTCCCAGATTGAATGTTACAAGCATTATTTGCAAAAAAGCGGGACATATTGATTTCGTGTACAACGCAAGCTACACGACACCAATATTGGTATAAGCTTTGAACTGAAACACCCTTGAATCTTTAGGCATGTTTATTATATGATTTAACGCGTTAAAGTTATTGAAAGTGATCACTTTGGGTATCATCAAAATTTATACTGCTAAGAGCTCAAAAATCTTCATGAAACAATATTGAAATATAATTTAATACATTTAATTGCAGTTAGAAATGAAGCCAGCCAGTTTTAAAATTGTATTGAATCTCTTTTATAATCACCTCATGTAAGCTCGGTAAACATAGTTGGTTAATATGAAAACAGTTTACACAAAACGAATTTAATAGTTTAATATTTATGTCGTGCCTGTGTGGTTATCTCTATACATATACCATACCAGGAAACTCAATTTACGTTTAATTTGGTTTCGCTCTTGAAATGGCACAGCAAAACAGATGCGATTTTCTAGAATACTTGATGAAATATTTAGAAAAAAACGCATTAGGAAATTAATGTTGAATTATAAGTAATTGTAAGTTCAAACCATGTTCTCCTGGCGTAGACTTGGTAAAAATGGGATGATTATTTTCTTCTTACTGTTGAGGATATTGGAATTATCAAATTTGAATAATTGAGAAAATTTAAAATATTAATTGATTTTAACACGAAACAGTGTCAAAGTGGTAGCTTTTCAGTATAACGTTTAAAATTGTAAGTAGAAACATTCTACCAAGAGCGGTTTCCAAAATTCACGTAAATTTTGAACGTTTGCATTTTACTTTTTAGTTTGCATTAACAAGAAATATTCCTAAAATGATGTTTGTGTTGTTATAACAAATGTTCTTTCCAAGACTTGAATATGCAATGATAACTAGAGGTTTGTACCTTAACCGGTTCTCTAAATACGAGCTAAATATTAAAAGCGGTTTAAATAAACTAAAACCTGCTAAAAAATTTGAATTTTTGCATTTTGCGTGAACTGTTGATACTTTTTCTCTCATCTTACTACAAGTTTCAGTTTCACTCAAATGGTAAAATTTGCAATTGTATTCAAAACACTAAACTGGGCGCCAAACGATGTCTAGCTTTAACATTTTTTTAACCCATAACGCGCTTAAGGAAATTGAATTGGTCTTTTTGTTCACTGGCTGAAAGTTTGAATACATTGGTCTTTCCTTTGGATATAGACTTACACGCTAATAAAAAATTTCTTAGCGCGTTCTTAACCATATCATAGGCTGATCTTGAGGTTTCAATTTTGATAATTCATTAATGAACATTTTTTAAAGCAAACTATTGCCTTGAGAACTGGCGGGCATCTCAACACATAAACCCAATTTAACGTTGCATATTAAGTTTTATATCTTCGAAAAATTTTAATAAAGAATAACAGTTCTTATGTAGCTAACTTACGTAATAAATGCACTAGGTATATCAAAAGTTGGAAAACAAAAACCATTAATCAACCTTAGTTAAATTACCGGGTACAAGACTAAAGCATTACCATCAAAAGATCATGCTTTCTTTGCATTTTAAGATGTTTAACTAAATTAACTGTAGCGGGTTAAAATAATTGAAAATTTTGCATTTTTCGTCTTTTGTACGGAATCTCATTAAATGGGGCTTAGAGTTTGCTATCACTCAATATTACATCCGAGATCGAAGCGATATACAGGGTATTATACAGGTTAGTCGGGATTAGCGTGCCATATGAAAACCATGCATAGATGGTTTAAGTATAAGCAAAAAGAAGTTTGGAAATGCTTCGTTTAGAATCTGCAAGGTATGAAAAATATCAGTAAAAAATACAATTTGCAGTTCGTTTAATTACTCGTTAGTATTCAATGGTCCGTTAGTAGTTTAGTGAAATGTGGCTATTTTAATATTTTTATATTTTATTATTATATCAATTTATCTAGTAAAAAAAATCAATTTCGCATTCGTAAATAACTTGATAACATTTGAGTCAATATTCAAAAATATTGGCAATAGTATTTACATATACAGCAGTAAAAGGCTAATTGTGCTCTAATTAGATACAGTTATTAAACCCAGAGGAGGAAAAGCTAATATTTTTGACAAAAAAAATATGTGCACCACTGACTATATGGAACCGTACCATTCAGCAATTAAAATAAACTGTTTTTTTATGTTTTCGATAATATTATTGCGTATTATTTAACATTCTGTACATTGAAAATAAATCATTTCCCGAGAATTTATAAAGATTATAAGATTTTCTTTGTAAAGTCCCTCAGAGAATTGTACAATAACATTCGGTCTATAGTGCCTATTGTAACTTATTCTCTCATTTAATTTTATAGTATTTTATTCATTGGAAAACATGACAAAAACCATCCAAAAACAAACTTTTCAACTTTTAGCCCTGTTTTATGTATTATTTTCAATTGCTTTTTGCAAAATAATTGCAATTGGAATTTTTCCCGATACACTTTAGAATAGAAGCAAAGAGGACAATATCGAGGGACATAAAAAGCTTGAAATAAATGCGTAGGACTAGTCCATAATAAACCCCTGACAGGGAATTGTAAATATGTGATTAAGAAATGCTCAAAACGCGTTGTAGTATACCTGTAACTGATGAAACTCTTCAATTCGTACGGAATTGATTAGGAAGAAAAGTACTTGCTTGTTAAAAAGCATATTCAAACCTTAAAAGATAGCTTTTAGAGCTTCTTTTTAGGGGGTAAATTTATTTAGGGCGTTAAAGGTCAAGAGCTCTCGAGGAATAGTCAATGGAGCCACGCTTTTAATAATGAGGCAAAGAGCGCGAAGGAAAAAGCACTTTACATTTAAAGTGGCGAAATTTTTAGAAAACCCTCGACATTTATTTAACTGTGTTAATGGTGGATTTAAGTTATTTTCGTCCGAAATTCAGCAACTAGACTTCTACCGAACTACTCGAACGTAAAATATGTATGTTCTGTTATATTTGAATTTCTTATATTCCGATTTATGTGTGTCCTAAGTTGCAAACGGCTTCGTACGAAATATATTAAGTAAACATTTTGATATTTTCGAGGTCCTTTGAGATTTGGGCCCTAGAACGAGGCGCAAGAAAAATGAGAAAAAAAACATATTTGATGGAGGTTTTATTAGGAA